CATATAATACTAGATTATATATATATTGCGTTTTATAAACAGGGGAAAAATTTTTACAATCATCTTCACCAAGCCAATCTATTGTCTTTGAGTCTGTTAAAATCCACAGAGACCCTCCACTGAGTTTCAAAAGCTATATTTTTTTTACAGGAAAACTGATTATATATTATTCATTCACTTATTTAGACATTATCTGCTTGTTTCAAATTACTTCAGTACGAGAAGACAGAAGAAAGAAGTGATCCAAAAGGAGATAATAAAATGAATTAGAAACCATTTGGAAAAAAAAACCCAACCCAAAAACAAACCAAAAAAAAAAACCCTTGAAGAAAATATTACTAATAAATAAGTTGTTGCTGTTGTTAGGAGCCCTTGAATCAAGTATGACTCATAGTGACCCTATCAACAAAGCATCTGAACGGTTCCTATCTTGTGCCATCCTCACACTTTCTGACACACACAAGAGTCTAATGTGGCAGTCAGTGTGTCAGTCCACCTAGTTGAGGGTCTTCTCTACTTCACCGACCCTCCACTCTTCCAAGCATCACATCCCTCTCCAAGGAATAGTTCCTCTTAGCAAAATGTCCAAAGTAGGAGAGGCAAAGCCTCATCATTTTTTACTCCAAAGAGCACTCTGGCTGCACCCTATTCAAGACCTATTTGCTTGTTCTTATGGCTGTCCATGAAATGTTCGTTGCTAGTCTCCAACACCAGAGCCCAAAGGCATCGATTCTGTTTCTATCATCCTTATTCACTGTCCAGCACTCAGATGCACAGCAAATGATCAGAAAGACCATGGCTGGATCGAATGCACCTTAGCCCTCAAGATGATATCATTACTCCTTAATTTTTTGGAGAAGTCTCTAACTGCAGACTTTAAAAGTGCAATACATCTCCCTATTTCCTAACTGCTGGTACCAAGGGTGTTAACTGTAGATCCAAGTAAGATGAAGTTGCTGACAGTTTCAATCTCTTCTCCATCCATCATGATGCTGTCCACCGGTTCAGTAATAAGAATGTTTTCTTGTCTATGCCAGGAAACTCAACAGACAGCTGTCTGGGTAACAGATTGGAAGAGGTCCCTATTTGTTCCTATTCCCAAGGAAAGTGATCCAATTGAATGTGGTAACTATCTAATAATATCATTAATATCATATATAAGCAAAATACTTCTGTAGATGATTAAAAAATAGCTAGAACAGCAGATAGATAGATAGATAGATAGATAGAGAGAGAGAGAGAGAGAGAATTACCAGAAGTTCAAGCAGGATCTAGAAGAGGCTGTGACACAAGGAATATCATTGCTGATGTTAGATCCTGGCAAAATGTAAATACCAGAAGAATGTATATTTGTGCTTTATTGACTACGAAAAAGCATTTAACTATATGGATCACAGGGAGTTGTGCCTGACATTAAGAAGAATGGGAATCCCAGAACACTTGATTGTGCTCATGAGGAACATATACCTTGACCAGGAAGGAGGCTGTTAGGTGAACAGAGCAAAAGTTGTTGGTCTTGCAAAATTTTATTATGTGATCTCCTAAATCAGTACTATCTCTACAATCATATTTTCCAACTACTGATCCTTCTCTGTTTCCAACTTTGAAATTCAAAAAAATAATTAGTAATTTTTAATTATTAACAAATCTTATTTACATATTCACATATTTACATATCAAATATTACATATTTGATGGGTTTTGGAATTAGAAGTTGTTAAAAATACGATAGTTTCATCTTTAATAATGGCCGTGCATACATTTGAAAAATATTAGTTTTTCAGGATCTTCCTTGCACATTTGTGGATATTATCCTATCACAGACTTTCAGGATAGACTTTAAAATGTTCTTTTTGATAATGAATGCAAATCATTCAGTTTATCATTAAGAGATCATATCACTATTCTATTCAAAAGGTCCAGCACCAGTCTGTTTTGGTGTGCTAGCACCTAGGATTTCAAACTTTGAACATTCTTTTTCCTTTTTGACTGTTCCTATTTTCTACTTAGTATATTCCTTGTTAAAATTCTTAATGGATATTCGCAACTGTTTCTTCTCATTTTGAGTCATGCCAGCTCAACCAAGGAAGTTCTTGAAGGATTGACTCCGCGTCATTAAGGATGGACTCCACTCTGGGGATGCAGTTCTTCAGTACTTGAATTCTGAGCACCTTCACACCTGAGGGGCTCATCTCTGAGCAGTGTAGCAGATGCTATTCATAAGGTTTTCAACGGGAATTATTTTTAGAAGTAGATTACCAGGTCCTTCTTCCTAGTCTGTCTTAGTCTGGAAGCTCCACTGAAACCTGTCCACCAGGGGTGACCCCATGGGTATTAGAAATACCAGTGGCACAACTTTCAGCATCACAGCAACACACAAGCCACCACAGTACGACAAACTGACAGACAAGTGGTGGGATTTCAATTTGAACACTCACTTAAGCAGACAGAAAAAAGTGTACAAGCAAATAACCATTAAATATCTCTTCTGAACATAAATCACCCAATTAAGATCATGTGATCTATAGCACAAGAAAAATGCCAAATCCTTCAATATGGTGTTATGTTATGTTTTCATATTGTAACATTAAGAGTATATTTGATATAGTATAAGCCTGCAAAAGGAAAAAAATTTTATAAACCAGATAAATTTTCTAACTATAATATATATTTTGAA